TGGTATATACATGTGAGGAATGGTCATTTGTACCTAGAAAATCCAGGGCTGAACAGCTCTTTAAAAGAACACTGATTTCAAAGTCTGGAAATTCACAGGAAAAAAATCTAAAAATAAAGAGAGAAGAAGGCCATCAATGTAGTTTAAGAACAAGAGAATAGATATACTAGAGGCTAAAGGGATAAAAAAGCACGTTAAGATTGTTTCAATAAGACCTGGCCACTAAAAAAAAAGGGGGGGGGGGGGGGGGGGAAGGAAAAAAAATTAAGCACAGAAAAATCTAGAACAATCAATCTCAATATATGCACAGTAAACTCAGAGACTCCGGCAGCTTACGCTGCTCTCCATTTACCCTGCTAAGTTTCAATGACTGACAAAGCATTTCAGCTGTTTCAAATAAATACGTACTGGAAGAAACATCATGAGCTAATAGTAAATGTCACATTCTATCCCAATTCAGTGCTAAATCTAAAACATGCATAGGTTACTCTGAAATAGATCAGTTACTTGAACCAGAATCACAGTTCTTGCTTTACCCCATACCCTCAACATGGTAAAAGTTGCTGTCTTTGAATTTTATTGCTATTGTTACTAGCACAGAAACTACATTTTGGCTTCTGTTTGCCAGTCTTCGTCTTTCTTGCCATTATACAAAATACAGGACTAAGGGTGATTATCAACTTTCATACAGCAATGTTGATACAGGGATGCTTACTGACCAAGTTTTACCAGAAAAAAATAGTAAGTTTTAATGAAAAATACTTTCTCTGTCCTTCAAATAACAGGAATTAGGTTTACTGTTTGCACTTGATGGCACTGCGACTCCTCCTGTCCTCTGATTTGTATTGCTTTTCAAAGCAGAAATGAAACAGGAAATTTGTAAGTTACAGAAAAATAAGAGTAAACATCCCATCAAAAATTGGCAGCAATAAGGAACTGTTGTTGGAGCCACAGACTTTTTTGTTAATAAACAACAGCTACTTACCTCATGGTATCCGATTCTTCGAAATATATATCAGTTACAGTCTCAATATTCATGGGTCCTCATGCACCTGAATTTGGATTCTTTTGGCCAAGAGTGTGTATTCAGAGTGCCCTTATGGCCTTGGTGTCACTGTGTCCCCTTTCCACAGACAGAAAGAGAAGAACATAACTGTCTCTCAGTAGTAAGGAAGGCTGATTATGGAATACATATGGAGATCACATCTCAAAAAACCCCCAAATCCCTCACTGTAAGTAACCATTCCTTCTTTGAGATTTTTCACTTTCAGGGGTCATCTATATAGTAGTTCAGATGAACTAAATTGAACAAAAGTAACTTTGAATGGGAGTGTCCAGGCAAGATTTATTACACACAAACTAATATATTTTTAAGTTATCCCTTTACTTATTTTAATTTAGTAATGAGGTAGAACTTGCCATGCAGGATAACTGCAGTACTTAAAAGTCCATTGACTAATAAGTTGAAGACATCTTAAGACATGCAAGATTGTATCTTGGTATCTTCATGTTGAGTAATATGACAGGAATGTATATAACCAACCAGACTGTTTTCTATATAGAATATTGTTACACAAAGTTGCAGCAGCTGGTTGTGTTAAGAGCGTACTCCATTCTTTCTGCCAGTTGCTTTAAACAAGCTAATTCACACAATAATCTATGAGAAGGAAAATAACATCTCTACATGAAAAGCTGGTGTTGCAGTTGGCAACAGATCCTAACGAAGTTCATAACTCACAACCAAAGATCCTAAGAATTGACACAACTACAGTGTTCATTCCGCTTTAGAAGGGAACAAGTAGCGTTTGAACATAATCTGAGAGATAACTGGTCAAACAAAACTCAGTACATTGTGTATATACATACAATACAAAGGTGAAGAAATTTATTTACCCCCTCTAAAATAAGGGTAGAATCTAGTAACATTAATTTGCAATTTTGAATTAAAAACCCCTGCTATTATTGGGGATGAGGAAATCTAATTATGGAATGTAACTTGCCATTTGTTTCTTGAAGAAATTCAAACACATTACACCGGTTTTAGTGCAGTTTGTCATTATGCATCATTCAAAAGCCTTGTTACAAATGAGGTTACTCTTCTTTGACGGTTGGACTCGATGATCTTAGAGGTCTTTTCCAACCTTAAAGATTCTATGATTCTTACTCTACTCTAGCAAAAGGTATCAGCACAAAGTTTAGCTCCAGGCACAGAAAAAGGCTTTACATTAGGGAGCCCATGTGCTCCTCCTATTTTTCAGCCATCATCTGGTTTTGCACCTTGTTAAGAACCACTAGGACTGAACTTGCTGGAAAGTAATCTTACTGCCTTTTCCATAGCGTTTGGTGGTGTTTGGGTTTTTGTTTGGTTGCTTTTTAAATCTAATGGGTGACAGAGGCCGAAGAAATTTTGGAAGATCAGTATGTAGCTAAATGCTTTTAATTGCAAAGCGACCAATGGCCTTTTTAACAAACTTCGTATCTTTAACTGAGTAATAGTTGAAAGCCACCACGAAAGAGCTCAGAGTTGGGCAGTTGCTGCTTCTGAAAATCACAGAAACTGGGCTTCATGAGATTATAAATTAAATCTTAAAGTTTTGGGTTGGAGCATACAGAAGTTCCCATATAGTATTTGGAAATAAAACAGTGAAAATAAGTAATGTTTCTTGTTCCAATATTTAATCCAAGCAGACACAGACACAATTTATAAAATTATTCTATTGCATTAAAGTTTTATATAGCATTTAACTTTTATGAATGTTTTTCCTTCAGTGTATCATATATTCATATTTTAAAATATCTTTGCACAGTCCTTTGTGCAGCTACATGCTAAAAATCTGCAAATGCACACTTAACACTAAACAGCACAAAAAATACATTCTGTATCCATTCATATGCAAATTTAAAACATTTCACTTGGCAGATAAACAATGAAAAGTTATTTTAAAAAAATCAGAAACTACAAAAATGCGCACATAAAAGTCTTCCCTTTTGGATTTTTAGTAAAATACTGCTCTGTATAAGATCTAATGAAAAACTCCAGTGCTTACAAAATACTTTATATCTATGAGAAAAACAAATGCTTAAATTTATATCTGTATGAATTAAACATAACCACCTTGTTAAAATAGAAACCTGAAATCACAGGGGACATGGCATAGGTCAACGCAGATGTTACATCTACCAGGACATGTAAAACTGTAATTAACTGGGCACCAGGCAGTCAGTATCATAGAATATATAAATTAAAACCCAGGGACTAATACAATATGCAGCAGCTACAGAATTGTTTAACCTGTTATATATACTAAATATAGCAATTCTACTTGAAGAGGGAGAGGAGGTCTTAGTCTGCAGTAAGTAATTAAAAATTGCTGTGTTTACCAGTGTTGAGAGTATAGTGTCCTTCATAACTTCGTTTCTAAAGAATCGGCATAAATTGGCTATCCAGATATGTCAAAATTCTGTGATGCAACAATCTAATGTAGTCTCATCTCCATCACAGGCATTTCTAAACAGATCTTTTCTCTGATGATCAGATAATTCAGATAGGATATGGGGAACTAACATCTGTGTCTCATAACTAAATTTCATATACGTACTTCTAAAATATTGGCATGTCAGCATCATGTCAGTCTCATGTTGCTAATGACAATAAATCAAAACGTACAACTTTCCCTTCACGGAATATGGCTTCAAACCCTCTTGAGACTAGATGGCTATAAAGATCAATGTATTTTAAGACTGTATGTAGACTATTCTACAAGGTTGGTGATATTAAGTAAAATGAAATAAAATTTCTTAACTTTGTTTTTACCTCTGTGATCCTTTTTACAGGGCTTGCTGCTATCCTACAAACACTGCTGAGGCAACAACTGTTTTGGAGAAGTCAATATAAAAAAAATCCTATAACATGCTAACAATGTGAAACTTGGTATGACACCAAGAAATGGAGGCAAAGAACAAGGTAAGGGAACTGAAGGAAAGTCTACAGACTTGCAGATCAAACATAAAACGTGTTTGGAGGCAACAACATGAATAACTAAAGTATGCTTTATTTCTAAGCTTCCTAGGCTTTAGAGGAGAAGTATTTTTTCTGGAAGAGGTTAGAATAAAGAAGAAAAATTAAATTTAATCAACATCAGTAAACAGCACCAATTGAGGCTTCAAATTTTCTCTTACACTGAAGATTTCTTATTAACGTCAATAAGAACGGTACATGTGGGTTAAAAATAGCACAGGGACCTTTGAGCCTTCTTTTTTTCCTATATTAACAAAGAATGATGGAGTTACTACTTTTACAACAAAGCTCCCTCCAAAAATACAAGTCAGCTTTTTGTCTGAATATTCTTATGGAACCGATAGGAACAGTTTCTGATAATTTAATTTTGCTAGACGGAATTTCTATCACAAAACTAAAAAATAAATAATAAGTGTCACTAGCAACAAAAAATAACCTACCATAGAGAAGGTTTCAGGGCACAGACTATTAGAGGGAGGAATGGACTCTTAAGTAACATAACTTTGACAGCCACACTACACAAGTGGTCATCTTTAAACTCTGGGCATTTTTATAATTTAGAAAAAAATCAGGATATCACTAGCATTTTAGGAGGCTACACAGATCTGTAGTAGATATCTATGTTATTTTATCATCAGAAAACAATGAAATTGATAATGCTGCTTAATTAAAAAAAACAAACGTACTTTAACAAAGAGGTCTAACTTTACGAATACTTTTTTTTTTATTCAATGCATCCTATAAATTTATCTCCTGGAACGGATTCTGCATCAGTGACCAGGTTTTGCCATTCTAATACTAGAGATACAATAATACCTACGTTTTGAAAGTTGTAAAGTTGTTGCCCTCTGGTATAAAACCTAGCAGTTGATAGTTAAAGTGAATTTGGCAGTTCCACTGTAGTTAGGTTTTAGTCACACTGATTCAACTCAGAAGGACCTGGAGAGCCAACATAAAAGCTGCATTTAAATGTTTTTTTCCTTTCTGTCTTATTACGCTATTTAAAAATAAGCTAGAATACAAAATGTCATACTTAGCAATGTTTGATGCCCAAGTTATTACTGCTCCATATCCCTCCCATAAAGCATGGCAATTCTGAATTAAGGTTGCCACTGTTATTGCTGCTTACCCAGTATAGTCTGTAAGCCACTGTTGAGAAACCTAGGCACAATGGATGGCATGGTAACCTTAACTCAGCATTTCCTGGCTTTTGCTAATATAAGTCAAAATAATTAAGTTTTAACATAATTTTTATAGTTTTCATAACAACCTGAAAATCATAGCAAATAAAAGGTATTTCATTCTATATTATACTTAAAGTGGCTGGTCTTTTTAATAGAGCTTTCTGATTTTTTTAAATGATAGAACATAACAGTGGGGGAAGAGTTAAAGATAAAATACACCTAGCTACCATATTTATTCTGAAGATTTTGGTGCGCCAAAATTGACAGCCAGCTTTCTTGGCTTTCGCTTGCTGGAAGTGTTTGGTGTTGATTTTTTATGAGGAACACTTGGAGTAGCCACATTGTCTTGAAATGAAACAGTGGATTGAGCAGCTTGAGGAGATTTTAAAGGAGCTGAAGAACTATCTTGCTGAATGTGGTCAGAAGACACTGGCTGTTCATTCTTTAGTGGTGCAGCTTGAGGGGAACTCTGAAACTCCTTGAACTCAAAGTTTTTCTTGCTAGCAGCCCTTTTTTTAGTTACCTTTAAATCAAATAAATATTATTTAACAGAATGCATTCTCAAAAAATTGCAAATATTCCACTTTTAGAAAACATGCATACAATTTTTTACAATAATTTTCTAATACTAAATAGTGCTTCACAGTGGAGGTGATTTGTTGCATTCATCACGTAGGCATATTTTTTACAAAAATAGAATATTAAAACAAACCTGCCAATCTTACCTGCAGAGGTATAAACTGGTTGTGAGAACCAACTGGTATAGTTCCTGCAAGAGACACATTTCCTGGATAGGAGCCAGAATAATAATGTTTAGGCACTGGGGTTCCCCAGGACACTGGACCAAACATGTGAGATGACGGAGGCATTATATTAGCTGTGAAAATAAGTAGCTAGTTTTAGCTCTCTTTCCTCAGAAAGAGGATACCAACTCCCAAGACTCCAAAAGTACCCCAACTACATTTGTCTGCATGTTGCTTCTCTTTCCCACAAAGCCTCATATTCTTCATATTTAATTTACTATAAAAAAATCCCAAACAAAACAGTTCTGCTTTTACAGAACTACACCTAGATAACAGCACCGCTAAGAGCATTAAGTCACAGCACCTGCATTTCCAGAGTGCATATAATTTAGGATCTTTGCATGCTTAGCTGAGTGAACTGTACTAGTGAAAAGGCTGTAACTTTAGGCCATCCTTTTGAAACAAGTCGACAATATAGAAACCCTGGGGAAAAGAGATGTAGCAGCTGCTGTGTGGGTTACTAGGATGCTACAATGGTGCTGACTCATTAAGTACTAGCTGTGAGTGTGAGCTTTAGTAGAATACAAAATAGGCAGGAACCAGAAACGCCACCAGGATTTTTAGCAATTTTGGGGGGGGGGGGTTACTTACCATGCTAATGTTTGGTGGTGTACAATAGGATTGTGATGGAGCACTTCAGTGAAAGTTGGTTATAAACAAATAAAACCACTAATGCATTGATAACTGTGAACTATATGGGGTGGTGGGGGATCCACGTAGAAAATCAAGGAAGAGATTTCTTATGAATTCAGGACTGAGACTATCAGCTTTGAACTAATTACTATTGTTTTGAAGGAAAAAAACAACAACATAAAAATCAACTAGGACTGAATGGACAAATACATTCTTGAGAAAAAGAAATAATTGGGAGATACGTGATTCTTTATATTAAATTAATTTGCATAATGATGAAAAGATGTTCACGAAGTGTTTTTAAAGTAGTTCAGACATACAGCTACATACACAAAGGCCAAATATGGGGATTTCTGGAAGGCATTCATTTTCATATAAAGAACTATTACAATTACAGGATATCATGATAATATTTGAAACGTGTACTAGTCAAATACTTACCAGGGGGTTGTGCAAATACTGGAGGAATAGATCCAGGTGGTACAGGAACTCCTAGTGGTTGATAATTTGGAAACACTGGTGGAGGTGGAGGCAAAGGGAAGTTTACTCCTATAGAACTCTATAAAGAAGGAAATGGAGGATTACAAACAGACGCAATGCAATAGAGGCAAAGATTTTAAAAGATTCTTTGCATCCTCACCAAACGCTGTAAAGCAAAAAGCGCAGCTTTCTCCTTGGCTTCTGCTTCAGAATGACACTGTGGTCCGTGAACCAACAAACCATTTGATAATTTTATGTGACAAACTGTCATGGTCTAGGAAAGCGAGAGAAGATTTTTGAGAGAATTAGCATTGTTAACAAAAATACTGTGAGATAGAAACAGAGGATTTGTTTGTTTTGAAAAAAGGCAACAAAAGGAGCTAAGGTTTATTTTTAGATGGGCTTCAGTCCTCAGTCCAAATGTTTAATATAGGCCAGTTGAAACAAAGTTGAGAACTTTAACTTTTGTAGAAAAAGCTTTTTACCTGTGGTGTTTTTAGGAAAGAGAAATCTGGTTGTGACATTCCAACAAGAGAACAAATACGAGAAAGTTCAGAAACAGTAGACGGTGCAGGCTGTGGACAAGCGAAAGGGTGACCTCCAGTTTCCAGTGCTGGTGTGTTCTGAGAGCCTCCAGTGCTATGAGGCTTGTGCATATAAGCAGCTGATAAAACAAACAAACAAAAAAATGCATCACAAACACTTCCTGCACTGAAAAGATAGCAACTTTGTTATCAGCAGAAAAAAAAAAAAGTATATTTGTTTTTTTCTGGTATTTTCATATGTGATTAACAAAAACCAGGAGACTTTTAGATCTGAATAAAGAAGTAGAACTGACAAAGATGGACATTTTATTACTCTATTTTGAAAATCAGTACTATACTGGTAGCTATGTTCTAAAATGTCACTGTAAGGTGAAGCTCCAAACTATGAGCTGATGTCTAAAACATACCCATTTTTTTTGTTTGTCTATATTGCAAGGCAGCTCCATGGCAATCCTGTCTACTAGGGGGAGGAGGAACATCATTAACTTGGGATTTCACTTCATTCCTTGTTTCCAGGTCAGAGCCATCTATCTTCAAAATCTCTTTGAGCATCTGTGTTCCTTTCTTTAAAAATAAAACAAACCATTCAGGGACATAATAGCATTCAGATAACACTACCTTCTTACTTAACTCTGAATATCATAATGGGTAACAACATCTGAATTTTTGTCTTCCTACCAGCTACACTTTATTAAAGCACAGATAACAGCATCCTAGCATAAACAAATGTGTGTGTTAATTTTCTTTGAGAATAGCTAATTAAAAGCTTATCAATATGTTTAAAAAGGCAGTATGAGGTTTCATGAAGTTTCTTTAAATAGAAGCATTGATACTAAGACAGCAGATGCTAAATTGCAATGTAATGATTCCTGCAGTATACAGACCATAGCAAATGACTGTGGTGACAGATGTTCTTCATTTGTAGCTCTTGCTTCCTTGGAATAGGTCTGCCCTTCATTTTCTTTGGAAATTTTCAAAGAAGCTAGAAGGCTTTCAAGTTCACTGTCCTTCTTAAAACAAATAAAAAAAAAGGTACATCAACTTCGTCTATTACAAGCAGATGCAAGAGGAAGGGTATATTAGTTTGCGATTAATTTTATTCTCATTCAGGATTTTTTTCTCTTAGCTTGGGCAGATCACAGTCATGTCTGCTCAGAGTGTGAACAGATATCCAGAGACTAAATCAAGTTTTGCATACTAAAAAGATGCAAGTATTGACCAATAGAGAATTGCTTTAAAGAATGATCAAGATTAGACAGGTTTGTATCTTTCATAAACATGAATTTGCACACAAGTGACCAGGAATAAATGGAACAAAGTGGACTGGAAACTGAAGTTATTCAAAGAGCACCAGAAAAATCAACTATCTAGATCCTACCTTTCCACCTATACAGGGACCATCAACTGCAGCCTTCTGAATTACAGGCATGTTGGGACTTTCATTCCTCTTCAGAAGTTTGACATTGTACTTATTCACACCTGCAAAATTCTGAAATAAACTGCAGCATTTATTATTGAATACTAATACTCCATTACTCATTATAACACAATCATATCAGAAATGCATCTGCAAATAGCTTTCACAAGCTAATATTTTTAGAGGATTTCAGCTTACTGAAAACCCAGCATTTGTGTTTTCCCATTACAGCTAGCTTTTAGAGCCCAAGAGGAATAGGAAAATAATTTGGTATCATCACTGTACATCTTATACACTTTGTCTCATTTTCTGTCTATAAAATCTCCAAAATACAATCTACCTAGTAAAAGAATCAATTAAGATGCCAGTTAAAGAGAAATCTGTAAAATGATGAATCAGAGGAAAATGAAAAGAAAATAATAAATTTACGTAGTACAGAAGAAATTACCTGTTTGTTTGATATTTTATTATGTGTCTGACTTTCACCTCTTGTAATTTTGGAATCTTCTTTAACTACAAAAGAATGTATTCTTTTGAAATGCTCTTAAAAACCACAACAATAATCAAAACTCAAAAAAGCATTAAATCCATACAAGTACACAGAGTTGCATTAATTTGAATGGTTGCATCAAATGTTTAATTTGTACTTTACAGGTCATCTGGTGTATGCTCTTCTTGTAGGATAAAATAAAATGAAGTATATGAAATAATATATCTAATTTTATATTCTACAAATATGATCACAAGCAAATTTTCAAAGCCAAGTTGTGGTTATTTTTCTTTTGTTTTTATATCAGATGGGTGGAAAGTCAACATAATGCAGAACAGCTTGATTAAAAGGTTTAGGATTAAGTGTGGAATAACCTAATATGCACACCAAGGACATTATTTGACAATAACAAGTGCAACGTAATGTTTGTGTAACTATAATAAACTATTTTCTGTCAGTAACTACAAAAAAATCATCAGGCATTTCAACAAAGACCAGATAAAGCAAGTAGTTCTCCTAAACAAAATTTCTAATTATAGTACTTACATTTTTTATATAGCTCCTGTTTTCTCTGCTGACCTTTAAAGCTGCTGTCATTGAATCCTGGCTTATAGAACTGATTGCCAGTTCCCAGCTTCATTTCCTGAGGTAGAACTGCACCCTAGGATTTCAAACATCAAACTGTAACCAGAAAACTAGGTATCTATCTGTATGATTACCTCTTTCCAGAGCTATGCATACCCCATGTAACAATACTTTCATCCAGAGGATTTATTTGTAACATTAACTAGAAAGTTTTCTGATGTATAAAATTCAGTACCTTCATATTTTGAACCCAGGGATCTGTTTAAAATTTATATACTAACCTTCTCATGCATGGTTTGCTGAATGTGGTGAGACTTCCCAGAACTCTGCAATGATTGCCATATGCTGCAGAATTCATCGTCTTGCTTACTCTGTGCCTGACAAAATAAGGAACAACCACCCCAACAAACTCAGCAGCTATAAACTCAACTTTTGAACAGTTAATCATATACAAAGGCATTCTGAAAATCCCAAGGTCCAAGTTTAATAGTGCTCAGACAGAAATTTTCATACTGACACTAGTAAAACTTGCAAGTATTTAGTTTATGAAATAAGCTACTGTGGTGGGTTGTAGTTATGTAACAACTTTCCCTAAGAATCACTATTAAACTGAAATGAGCTTAGTTTGTTTTGAGATTGGTTTTGTTTTGTTGTTAACAGAAGTTATTAACATAGGAAAGATCACTGAAGATTAATTATCCTCAGATGATAATTCAAAATGGTTTCAAAAGCATGGCCTCATACTGGTAGTATTCTTAAATTTTATTATTAATATGTTATTTTGTAAGGCCTTATCAGACTCAATTGCTTAATAACATTACAGGTACACTACCACAGAACTGAAGCCCAACTATGTAAAAAACAACACTTTTGAAAATCTAGAATCTGAACAAGGATAACACAGGATACTATGCTCATTCAAGAACTGGGACAAATTCTGCTCCAGTCTGTATCCAGAATAAAACATCTGATGAACTAAAATGAAACTAGAAAAGAACACCCATGCTAAATAGGAGGCCAAAATAATGAATCAATGAATCAGAACACTCACTTTATTTTTCTGATTGCCACTCAGAAATGATCCTTTCTGGGGTGAGTTAGAGTTGCCCTGATTTTCAGCCCTGAGATTGTAATGCTGTCTTCCATTCAGTTGCTAAATCATTAAGAGAAAAAAAAAAAAAATCAGAAGTGTTTCATTGCCTTAAGTTTTCTTTTGAAAAGTAGTTTTCTTCTATAGACTTAGAAAACATGAGACAATTCTTCTTAAACACACCTACAGCGACATGAAGTTATTCATTAAGCTAATTTTCTTTAAAGTAGTCACTTATTAAAAAATAAAGTTTAATTAAGCCCATGAGAACCCCCAAGTCACCTGTAATATTTCCTCCTTTACTGTATTTTCAAACAAAGTAAATCATAACCAAGAAGCAAAACTGACAAGGAAATCACGTCTTCTCTTTCTGAGCATGGACAAGCTTGGCCCACGGAAAGCATTACTTGGAACAGAGCTTTAAGAAAATAATTCCATCTCTGCTCAAACAAACTATTTGTTGACACCAAATGTGGTGTCACTGCTCCAAACTAAATATTTGTCTCTTTGAAATGCAACTGGAGCTACTCAAAGCAAAACAACTGTCAATAAGGAACTTTTGGTCCCTTTCGTTATTGGATTAACTTATTTCTCCAAGATAAGGATTATTGTACTTCTAACATACTGAGATAAAAATTGAATTTTGTTTGTACCAATGAAGATAACAATCATAGTCATAACTCACGTTTCTATGGAAAAACATTTTTGAACAAATGAAAGAAAAATCTTACTTGAGTAGGAACAAAAAGAGAGCGAGGAGAATGGTTGAGGCCTCCTAGATGCACTTTTTGCGAGCACACAGATGACAAATCAGATGCATATGAATTGTAGTTATTCACAGCTGGTTGAGGTTTAACTATGGCCGTCAGTTTTTGATTTCCCATTTCTGACCGACTACCATGAGACAGGTTAATTAAGGCACTTGATGGCAGACGATAACCTCTGGCAGGTGAGCACCTTGAGAAAAGCAAATTACATAGTTGTTTCATGTAGTTTAATTGTTGACGTTTCAGTATGTCTGATTTAACAACACTGTGGCCTCCATGCCAAAAGATAATGATTCACGTTTGAACAACAGAGGCTAAAAACTGTATACGATATTGAAATCTACTACCATTATACACAATGTTAATCCCATTGTGCTCCCCTTTGGCCTCTGGCTGTCAAAACCAGAAAACAACAGTAATTACTACTACTGTGAGTTTATATTGTACCTTTCAGTGCTGAGCTCAAAGAAATTTTAAAGATGAGTTGTTATAGCATAGTTCTGTGGTAAATATTTCTGTAAAAATTATGAACCAGAAAACAATATTCTTTTCTTTTTCTGAGATGAAAACTGAAGCCAGTAACAGAATTATGAATTAAACGTAAGCAGCATTTAGTCTGTTTTATATCTTCCTTTATGATTCTGAATACTGAAGATTATCTGTGTTACAGGACATGCTCTTGCAAGGGAGAGGATTGTGTTATGCTTGCTGAACGCAGGGAATAGGTAAGATTCCTCTAATTTCTGTCATAAGAAACTTAATTTATCTAAGAACAACAGTAAAATGAAGCCTGCTGGGTAAATTAGTGCACTTAGAAGTTTACCTGCTTAAATACAGAAAAGTTATCACACTTTTTAAAACAAAAGCATTAACCATGCCTCTACCTCCTGAAGAACAGTTTAGATTTTTAATGGTAGAATTTAATGCCTAAGTATCAATTATTGATAGTTCAGAGTTCCTCTCCTTCAGAATAACAGATGATTACTGACTATTTTTAATCTATATGTTTAAGACATACTGATAACAACCTGTTTTCTACATACTTGTTTTAGAAAGACATTTGGATCTAGTGCTTTACTCTGTTGGTTCATATTTGCTTTCTACAAATCATAATACACAAATTAAATAAAAATACACAACTTAAATACACAAAAGAGCCTAAACAGCATTTCTAAAATACAATGTCCCTAATAAAATTATCCCTACTCAAAGAGAAAAAAGAAACACATAAGATATGAAAATTTGCCAACACAGTTTAGAAACAAAGTTTTAAAAAGAGGCATTAAAAATATGCAAACAAACCCAAGGCAACAATTTCATGCCATCAATACCAATGGCATGAAATTACTATGAGATCCCCTGCACAAACCTTATAGTTAGGCCTCCAAGGAATTCTTCATCAAACAGAACTTCGAAGAGTACATCTGTTTCTCTACTGGCTGTAGAAAATGAAGTAAAATGTCATCCTATATACGTAACAGTAGCTGTTTTCATCAAAATTATGTAAATATCTATATTAGTTCTCCAATAAATAATGGCAAGCCCAAAGACTAATTAGCAATAAAAATTCCTTATGCCTTAAATGATTAATTTCATTAACAGCAATTCAGAAATTCTTCTCAAAGTCATATATGGCTGGCCTTTTAGATATACTTTTAAATAGAAATGTACCATGCATAACAACTTATCAATTTCAATTAATAGAACTGCAATCTACAGCAGTATGTCACAGTTGTCAGAAACTGAGATGCAAGCCATCTTTACATTTAGGCAGTTGGAAACCAACAGCTTTAACATTACCTTGTTGCATAATGATAGACTAATAGTTGCATACTGATAGACTTTGAAATTTTACTAGTATATAATCATTATAGAGAAAAAAATACCTATTTAAAAAAGCTGCAAGTCTAGTCTATTCAAGATTCTGCTGGATGCAAACTAAATGAGAAAGCAACTACTTAAACACCAGGTAAAGAAAACAATTTCTATTACTAGATCTCAAACTGCTACACCCAAGGTGATTTGGTAAATCATTTTGTTCACCTGAAACAGATTTATGGATAATCTTCTTGTCAAAGAAGGTATAAATCCATGCCATTTAACAGAAATGGAATATCATAGAGTACAAACCAAATTCCAAAGAAAGCAATTTGAGACAAATCATACTTGATAAAATGTTATGTTCAATATAAGTGTTAAGGCTAATACTTTTCTTTTTATTTCTACTTCTCTTAACTTTACCCATATCTTCCCATAACTTCATTTTGTTCCTTTTTTGCAGCCTGTGTTCTCTATGCCTTCTTCATATTAAAAAGGAACAAAGGGTAAGTAATTTCTTATTCAAAGTACAGCTGTGTAACACGTAAAATTAAAATAGAATACCTGTAGGTTTAGTTCAAAACAGTAAATATGTCGCTAACAGCTTCAAGGTGCGTATGCTTCATAGGTGAGAAATTTCTGTGGATTCTCAATCATTATACAAAACACTTTTCTGAAGCCTGCTTTCACACCACTAGTTGAGCTCTTATATAACGCTACAATTATGAATAAAATATTATTACCTCCTTTAATTCCTATAATGGTACCTCGAAGACCAACTGGAACAGAAAAGTTCTCTCTCACATTGACAACACGGTCAAACAGCCTATACTCCGCATCTCGATCTGGAACAACCCCATTCTGCTGTTCTAATGGCTGACAATAACCAAAAGACTGTGTTAATGTTCGAAAAAATAATAAAATGGATTACAATCAAAATGCATTTATAACAGTATCTGAAGCATGCTATAAAACAAACTTTCTGAAAAAATGTTGTTTAAGAACATAGAATCTTCCCTCCCCAGACACAAAGCAAGCTTTTTTTTTTTTTAACTCTCACTCACTCACTGCTTCTGCCCGAGAAACAACAGTGCTGTACATGATCTAAGACAGACCAAGGGGATCAATTTAGGCAAAATAAAACCATCAAGTGTAACCTGCCTGTATCAGTAACACAGGTATCTGAAATACCAGGCAAGATGACCACGTCGTATGTCAAGAACTAAACAAAAAGCCAAACAGGGAAGAAAAGACAAATGGAAAATACATTTTATTTTGCCTTCATTATACAGCCAGTAAGAACTGTAGAAGCATGAAGGTAGAAGAGAAATGAAAGTCAGTATAATACATGACAGAGTTTGTAGTTAGTAGAAATTCTCTCCTTTCAGAGACAGACTGCCATTCTCAAATTGATTTTCTAGAAGGCATCATAAACCTTTTTCTTTCATCAATACTGTCCTAGAATTCCACTATGAAAGTTGGTAAGCTTAGGTAAAATAAATATGATCTGGACAACTTCAACTTCTAAAAACCCCAAGAAACCCACCACCTTTTCACATCACTTACTCTGTACAGCAAATGGGGTTTCACAGTTACTCGCACCTTCTTGTTGCTCTTTCTCTGCTAAAGGAAAGGAACAGAAAGTCATTACAAATTAGTGTAGGAACCAACACTGGATTTCAGGTAGAACAAAACACCTGAAAAGATAATGTAGAATTCTTTTGTTTCTTTTAGACAAAGGTATACAGCTTTCATGAAGTCTTTAGGATGAGTAAGTCAAATTTTTAAAACATGACTGATATCTTATCAAAGCTTTTGCATTTTTGCACATTACCTTTTTGGCTAATTCCAGAATTCACACCAATTTAATTATCATGCCTTTGCAAGTAATTTCCAAGAAATCAGCCCATTATTTCATGCAGGGCTGCCTTTAGCTTTTGCTTTAGTAATTTCCTTGGCCCCTTTTTTGATCTGTGGCCTTCAGGAAACAGCTTTCTAATTTTCCTCAGACCAAAGAGAAACTGCAAGGGAAGAACAGCTGGGATTGCACTTAGAAACAGCATTTCAGTAGTTCAGAATATATATGACACATCTTCCTTTCAGAAATCACCAAAAGGCAGAGTTCAGAGTATGGCCTAATGCTGCTGAGTCACCTCAAAAAGAGTCAAGTAAAATATTAATAATGCACTCTTCTGAATTTCTGGGACAAGTCACATTACAAATTCAGGCCTTACATTACATTCTGTATTCTTTTTTCTTCGGAACAGCAAGTAATCATCCATCGGCTTATTCTAATTCAAGAACTGGGAAGATAATGAGCAGCTGCTTTTTTGTTCACCCCTGCTCACAACGATGTCAAGCTGCATACCTTGCATTTCTCTATTTCTTCTTCAATTTTCTCAACAATAGCTGCATCCAAAATTTGCAAGTCACAAGATGAGCGAGACAAAGCAGACACGGGATGTGCCTTTAACCAGGCAACAATTTCTTGAACTTTCTCAGCTCTAAATAAAAAAGGGACATGAATTAAAACCTTCAGCTGCATAAGTTAAGCATTTTACCATGTTCCCTGATTTAATCAGTCAAGTATTATGATATAGGCACGATATTTGTATACATTCATAAAGTAACAGAATTTAAGATTTCTGTTTACAATAGAGGTTAAAAGAAATAATCTAATTGAATCATGCAATACTGTTCCAAAGCTATAACCTGAAGTTGTCTCTACTTAAAAAAATTATCAAAAATTAAATTATTGAAAAGTACTCAGTAAATTATGTTTGTATCCAACCAACTAACCACGCCCAGCTGTCATTAAAGGTTCTGTGACCAGCTGTTTCACACAGCACAGTACAAAAGAACTTCAAGGCATGCCTCTGGTGAAATGGAGCACAAACCTGAGATTCTTATAATAGAAGACTCCCAAAATGGCGTATCTGCCTGGTAAGAGTCCTGTGGAGCACAGCATTATGCAGACTTACCAACTCAAGCCCGTGAATAGGGCTTACTAGCTAATAATAAAAGCTTTTTAAATGTTACTGTAGTGTATCTGGAATCAAGGTTGCTCCTTGCCTCCCATGAAATTGACTGAATATATACTAAAAATGTGCAAAGTATTTTAAATACTGTACATGTTATTTTTCAAATTCAAAGTGATCTTAATTAAAAGAATTATTGCTTATTTTTAAAAAATGATCTTTTGGTGACTTTGTGATTATTCATAACTATGCTTACTGAAAGTTACTTTAAAAGCAAGAACTTTTAAGTAGCCATCAAAAATTAGACTTCTTGTTTATTGGACTTAAGTTAGGAGTCTGACAGAGACTCGGACTCCACAACTGGAATGTACAACATTCTGATATTTTTTTCAGAGTCATCACTGGACAATCACACTTAAGGAACAGCAAGGTTTCAGTTACATAGCAGCCACTTTATGATCACCACCAATTTCACAATGTTGTCAGCCTTTATTCTACTTATTCTAGGGGGGGGGGAGGGAGGGTGGCAGGAGAAGGGAGAAAGACAACTTACCCGTTCTCATCCTCTCCAGGCCAAATGTCATCTTCATAGAAGATATCTTCCTGGCTATTCTTGGCTATATAATTAAATAGCTCAGGGACCCTAAAAAAAAATAAAATGAATAAATGACAGACAAATTTAGTTTCACATCAGCATAGACCACAAAAAAGCCTCAAAGCAAACTCTGACGGGCTTCAAAAGTTCTGCAGCCCAGATGGATTTTTTTTTTTTTTTAAACTTAATTTAGTGTCACACTGTTCATTCATCAAGGGTGAGCTGCTGACAAAATTACTCTATCCTAAAACATGCTTCTCCTTGGAAGGAAAGACTGTTGAAAAGAGCATATTTGAATAAAAGAAATTCCATCAAGCAATTTCCAAAAGCAAACTCATCAGTTCTTAGATCTGTGTCCAGAGTACAAAATTCAAAGACTGATACAAAGGTGGATAATTTGGATAAAGCTCATATCCAATATTTACCTTTCTAAATACTCAGCAAGCAGTTGTTCTACTGCAGAAGAATACATCCATTCATTTCCAACTTTCTTAGTATAGCCAGGAACTTCTTCATTTTTCTTATTGAACTTCAGGTTTAGCCCCACATTCGCTTTGTGATCTCCATGAGGACTGAAAATAAGATGTTTATTAACTTGCAGTAATATATGTGTGTGTGTGCATACATACGTTAAAAACCACACATAAACATACATCCTCAGCCTTAAATCATAGAAAAATTAAATTAATTGTATTGTTTACTTCTTAGCATTGTGACAGCTGTAAATGTTACAGGACATAAGCTGTACCACAGTAGCTGTCCACATGCAGGCTCATACCTTATTGCAAAGGAGGGTAGGGAGTATTTTACCCTTCTTCCTTAATTGAGATCTGATCACCCACAATCAACCTGGCATTTACCAAGATGTAGAAGGATATCCCTGAACAATCAGTGGGGAATAAATGTACACCTTAAATCACAAGAAGATGCGCATGCATCAACCACTTCTTTAGTGAGCTGTCCTAGGAAACCACAATTCTGACGTTCAGAGAACTATACGGATTGCCTCCCTTATATAATTTTAAGCAGTTTTAGTCTTAACTAGTTCTTAAAAAAAGTTACAGGTACAATTATTATCCCTTTATACTAGCAGTAGTAAGTGCAATGAAATTAGATCCCAGTTCCACTTTTTATTCTCAGTGTGGCAAAGTCAGTTCAAACTCCTGCTTCAATTATGCAAATAGCTAATATACATCTTTCTACAATACTAAAGCCAACAACTCTCCAGTAAACAGAAAGTAAAAAGAAGTTTATGATAGGAGAGAAAAATACTGCATATGAATTTAGTTTACAGCAAATATACATTTAAGAAAGCTTCACATCACAAAACAGTTATATACCTGATAAGAACAGCATTTACACATAGCAGAAGTTCTGTAGAGTTGTACTAGAAGTTAGAAGCTTCTCTACAGTCAGAATTGACAAAGAGAACTTACTTTTTCTTTGATCCTCTTCCAATAAAGATACTCCCTGTAAATCTGGAGACAAGATACCCACTTACTCCAAGACGGCTGGCCAAAATATATGCAGGATTGTATTTCACAGAATATTTCTTTAAAACAAACAAACAAAAAATATTGGCAATTCCTGAAGGATAAGGATTTTTTTCATAAAATAGGCAAATGAATAATATGAAAGCATCCCTTAAAAGACATTTACCATTGCAAAATACATTTGACACATTGTTTAAGCTTTTACTAGAAAACATAAGCACTTACATGCTGGTTTTGTATTAAAGGATCAAGCTGAGGTTCACACGGAATATTGAAAACTACACGAATTCTACCTTCTGCGATCACATCACGTGAATCTTGAACCTTGGAGAGAAACACAACACATTAAAAATGTTATTTAAAACCATCAGCCTTCAGATACGAGACCCTGTAGTCTACTTTATCAACAATTTTGCTGCAGTAGGCACAGAGATGCTTTCGGATTCATCATCTTGCCATGACCTGTACGCTGCTTCCTCATAGAGCCAAACAGCACTAAATCAAAGGAATCCATGACTGAAAATGGTCCAAAACGGAAACTCTATGTATTGCAAATTATCCCAAATAATATATAAGAATAACCCTACATTGAAGCTATGCTACCTTTTTCTTGTTATGCCAGCACCAGTGATAGGGAAACCAGCAGAACCGCCTCCTCCTCTGACTAAACCATCAGGAAATCTTTGATTTAAAACTTGAACTAGCAAATGACCACTACTGCCACACAATATCTTAGATTATTTTAGGCTTGCAAATAAAGAAATCTAGGGCGAAAAAAATATGAAGTTATTGGAACTAACTTCTCCCATGCAGCCATAGTATGGAGATCCCAGCATAAAGGCTGTACTCCCAGGAGGAAACAAGTCATCCAAAGTTTTGATGTTTGAAAAACGAGAGTCAAAGGCCTTGATATCCTACATGAAAAAGACAAAATTGATAATGTTAAATATAATTCAGTTCCAGTAGAATAATTAAAAAGTTCACATAAGTAAGATGCTTATTCTAAAACATTATCTGAGTCTGAAATAATTTGTCAAAGGCAAAGAAGTTCATACTGTATTACAAATGCTGTTACACAAGCAACTACGCCATCTCATAGAGCACCACTACTGCACTTCATTCGAAATATCATCAGTGAAAAGATGACAAAAGCCATTTTTTCGGTAATATCTCTAAACCGTGCAACGGGATCCCAAATTTTGCGATGCATTATTTGCCTAAGCACATTACGTTTTTTAATAAAATAAATTATATTAAGATGCTTATTTTTGTTCATTCTTTTGTTTTAAAAGAGCATACATTCCTTGTGTTGTACCCCCGGCAAAGGAGTAAGGAGCTATGTGCAATAAGATACTGAACTTGCATATTTACCTTGACAACAGTTTGGTAGACAAAAGGAAGAACTTGTTTTGACCACTGCTTCTCCAAATAAACTTCACCATTTTGGTTTAGCTGGTATCTGTTACCAGTGAGTAACTGAGCATACACAACTATTGATGTTTCATGAATAATTATTCCTTTTCTTCTCTGGTAGCTGAATACAAAACAGAATTATTTAGACTGATTACAATAAACAGAACTGAACCAAGATGGTGGAATTAATTTCTTGAAATAAAAAAACCCCAAAACATCAAACTCTTAAAAAAGGGATTCTAATAGTTTGCTTCCTGTTTTATAAAATATACCCAGTATAAATGGCTTAACCAATTGTTTATCCACTGTTGCACAGCCATCAACTACACAGCTAAGTGTGTTGATTGAAACACATTTTACCTTTATAGTGGGAAGGCTTAGGGGTAATTAAGGCAGTTAACTCAAATGACTGATAATAAAATGGCAAGCTACTGTATCTCAGTTGTATTCCACTGGGCACCACCCACACTCTAGAAGAGCAAGAGCTGTATTCAAATTTAACAGTGCTAAGCTACTGAAGTTGTAACTCGATACTGCCTGACTCCATTCTATGTACTTCCTACAACTGAAGATTACTAAGACAAGAACAGAAATTGAGTGGGAGAGGAAATACTGAAATTAATTCATTTGAGAATTTTTTTGCAATAGCATCTAACTTTAAATAGCTGGGGACTAACTCCATATATTCTGAAATTTCAATATAAGCTCTTTTATGTTGTTGTTTTTAAATTCCAGCAGACTCATTAACCTTTATCATCAAGTATGCAGCAGCTCTTCTCTGCTACTTAGGTTTGTAATACAGTAACAAAACATAGCTAAGTTTGAAAATTAAAGTGTAACTTTGCATTTTATAAGTTACTTACTGCTCTGAAATGCCTTGAACTTCTTTTAACCACAGGCTTTGTTCCTTATCTCCTACGTATGCCACTTTAGTTGGGGGCACTGCATTTCCCATGTAAAGCTTCTGCATGCCATGGGGTTCTTCCAAATAAAACCTTGAGAATATTATGACAGGTACGACTTTAATCAAATAAGATTAATCTAGACATAACCAATTGTGAGCAAAACTTTAAAAAGTTAGAAATTACTTGTTAAGGACATAGAAAATTTGCAGCCTCATTTTCTACCCCCCTTCCGCAACAGGTGTCACAGCATATTTTTCATAAAAAATACCAGTGCATGTGCTGAAAGGAAGATTGTATAGAAATCTTCCACCAAGATGTCTTTGATACATCTGGACTAATTTGCTGTTAAGCAAGTATTACAATAAAAGCAAAACTTGTGTACAGCTTAAGAAACTTATTTTGAATAAAACAACAAAGAGGACAAACAACTTTATATGAAATATCTCTTACTTAGTTTCTCCGTCTGACACAGCAACAACTCTGGCTTCTTCAAGGTGTGGCCAGTTAACAAAAACACGCTTTCCAAGTACCAAACTGGCAACATTTTCTACCATCTGAAAAAAAACCCCAGACATTACTAATTGTTTAACATATAAAAAAGATTATTATCAAAATATTTTCAAACTGTTTTTGCAATAAAAACTAATTAAAGAGCAGATGTTCTTGTGGAATAAAAAGCTCATTTTAGCTTATTAAATTATATGTTGATACATATTATATAATTTCTGATTAAAAATGGAGAATGATATTTCATTTTTTAGGACAAAGTACTGTATTCCAAGTGTGGCTCTTCACATATAGCATATGTTAGTTGTAAGACCTTGGCTGATTTACATTTCTGGTATAGACTTACTATATACTGTGGGACACAATAATCAAACTGACAATTTCAAATTAGTGAAATATTTTGTACCACAGATTTTACTTTTGTATTTCACTGAAGTAAAGAAACAGCACTTACATCCAGGACTTAGCTAGCATCTGTAATTTTAGTCTCACATTATGTTCTATTTTCCCAATGAGTTTCTTCTATTTTTTAATCTATTATTGTAGCTTATTAAACTCTCTTTGCCACATATTTCACCTTCCTTTCTACTAATCAAATTTTAAAAACTTATACATGAAACTTGTTTTGAAATCAAAGCATTACTAGTTAAATAAAGTTTTTAAAAAAATCTAAAGATATTCTTTTAAATTAACTATTCAATATATTTAACTATTCTTTTTTATTAAATGTTTGGGTTTAATTTTTTTTTTTTTTTACTTTTTCAGTATGACTCTAAATGTTTTTCTCCTATAATACACTATTGAGAGGACATAAATAACCAACATTTCAATTCTGCTATTTAACAAATTCAGTCTGTTTCTGACAAGTTTGTCTGGGGGTTTTTTGTTCTGTTTTTCTGTTAGGAGCTGAGTGCTTACCTGTTCTTTTGAGTTCTCATCAGCTATGATTTCTAACATCATGTTCTCTCCATGGCTGCTTTGCTGAAACACCTGTACACCACTTTTTCTAAGATAGAACTGGGTAAAAACAAAACACATAAAACTTACTTGAATTCTTACATACTTATCTCAAATACAATTGAAAATGTCAGAAGAGAGAAATCTTTTACCTTATGTTTAATGTGCTTTAAAGTAGGAAATCCACAAAAATATAATGCACTCTTGTTGATTTTAGTTATCTTATTGTGGGTTATTTCTACATGCCAAGCATCCAAAGGTATTGTTTTATACCTAAAAAACAAGTTGCACAACATTTGCTCATCCAGATCAACCGTCAGCTCTAGAAACTCTCATGACTCATTCAAACATTCATTAATTGACAAACCCTTTGACTTTCCTGGAAGGTAGCAATTAATTTAAGCCACTTAGAACCTATACAAAGGACTATAAAAACCTATGCTATTGCTGCAAGGAGACTATTCATTAAGAAAAAGACAAAACTTCAAGTAATGGTATATCCCAATCTCACTATTTTAATTCATCATTATTGTCAAATTCTAAACTAGCAATGAATCCATAGGGTATCATTCATCTTCACAACTATTCATTCTTCACCGAGTATAACCCTGCAACAGGCATTCCCTTCCCTGTTTTGCTTTAGATTTGAGTACTATTATGGTTAGGCTTCCATTTCATCTTGAAACCTCAGCCTGCATTAAATAAAGCTAGCTACTTGCAGAGAGAGGAAAGTGACCACCACACTTGTGTTCAACTCTGCACTGGATCCAAATGCTTACTTTTTTTACAAACAGTCTGGAATTAGTATGCTGACAAATCATCACTATTATTAGATATTTGTACCAGTCTTTCATCCTGTGTGTCATACAAAGTTTAGTAATTCTCTAAAGTGTTCTTGCTGACTTAGCATTGGTTCATCTGGTTTGCAAAGTAACATTTGAAGTAGAGAGACAAATACTTTTACCGTGCCATCCACAAGAAGTAACATCTAATTCAACATTTTCCATTTTTCAGTGTATTTACTGGCTATACATACCAGCATATACAAGCTTTAGTTAAAATGCTAATAAAAATATTCTAACTACTTTTAGTCTACTTTAAAATAGTTATGCCAGCATTACCTTGTATGACATCTTTCTATTGCAGGGAATTTCTCCGGCCACGGTGACATGTACTGGAACTCTGCATCTTTGTCATGCCAGTACATCAAGCAAGCACTGTGAGTATTTCTTTGTTTCTCTTCTTCTTTTAGGCACTTATTACAGGATTCCATGGCCTGCAGCAGTCGTTTCTAAATTTTAGAGAAATTAGCTTACGTGAAACTGGCAACAAAAATTAGCACGGAAACACCTACATTGGGAAGTAGATACCTGCACTTTTCTGGTTAATTTTCTAATTGCAGTCTCACCGTTCCTCATGTCCAGCTCTCCAACAAAAATAGGACAATGACAATGGAACGGCTTTAGAGAATAAAGATTACCTTTTCACAAATGTGTTTCCAAAGGCTAGTTATATTTTGACTTTTACATTTAACATACAAAGAAGCATTAAAAAGATTTTAGATACTATCATAAAAATTTGCAAAATAACTATTGAAAAAGCTTCAAAACCTTATGGGTTATTCAAGTAGCAACTGCTGTCTTTTGTGAGAAGATTAAGCCCTGTCAATGTTTCACTGCGAACTATGGAAACAATTGATAGGCACACGCCACCACCTGTATATATCTTTCTTAGCATCTAACCTGCAATCTTATTTTCATCTACTCTTTGATGTGCTCAAATTTAACCTGATAGAAGATATTACAATATATATAATACTGTTATCCTATATGCAAAAGGAAACCGTTACTATTTTATTTTATTCCTCTCCGTTAATGTTTTACTGTTTGATTTGTACTTAAACTCTTCTACCCATTACTGGTGTTCATGTGAAAAGATTTTCTGTAGAAAGACTGGAGGTTTTTTTCCTAAGTGTTTCTTTTATTTTACCTACAGACATTCTGAATTTTCGTACGTATATAGGAATAGATTTTTTTCCTCAAAAAATCTGAAACTAAACATTTGAATAGCTGATTAAAACCAACAACAAAAAGTCCACATTCCTTACTTAAGACTTCTGCCACTTGGAGCTAACTTTGCTTGTGGTAACTTAATCTAGCCTTACTCTCAAGGCAGCAAACATTTATATTTTTCTGTGGTCTTATCAAGTGTTAATTTAAACTTCCATTTAATTGATGTCTAACTGTTGATTAATTAAAAAGTTTAGCAGATTTGTTATGAAGCTTTTACAGACAGCAGATGTTGAAAGAACTTACCTCATCAATAAATGGGATTAATACTACAGCTTCCCATTCTTGCTGTTTTCCATTTAGGTCAGTTTTAAAATCCGGTGGATAATACTCTATAATAGGAGAGTCTTGACTGATCATCAAATGCTAGGAAAACACAATAGAGGAATTAGACAATATCATAGGAAAACACAATAGAGGAATTAGACAATATCATAGGAAAACACAATAGAGGAATTAGACAATATCAGAGACAATTTAGCACTAATTCTAGGAAGAGATAGAGGAAGACTGGTATTAAAACCAATTCAAGGCTGAATAGGAATTCAACATGTATGATTTAACTGTCCTAGTCTGAAACTGCTTAGCAAATGCAAAATTTTGTATTTATTACTAACTTTACAATGTACTAAGAATAGTAAGAAATAGAATTATTTAACCATACACCTAAAATTTAGAGGTAGAATATAACTAAGAGGACACGGAAAAATGTCAAGAAAAGACTTACTTCAAAATAAAGCAGACAACCAGTAAGCGATAGATAAATGCAATGTAATTCTAAATCCTACCTGGTAGCACTTAGGTAGTAGATCTTTGCTAGCTGCTGGAAGTACAGCAAGAAGCTGTTCAAATGGCATGAAAGGTTTGCCCAGCTCAAATTTGATTTTGAGTTCACCAATGTTGCGAATATCTGACAGATAAGGTGCATAATGATAAGGGTAATACCTGCAGGGGAAAAATCCTCTTAAGTTACTTATAGCACAGCAGTGTTCACAGATCAGAAACAAACAGAACTACATTAAATGCTCCCAAAGTACAAGGTGAAATATTGCTTGATCTTTAAGCAATTTTTCATTTGACAGTATTTCTTACCAGCTCCATGACTGAACTCCATGGTAATAATAATGCAAAATCCATTGTATTGCCTGAACATAACATTCAGCTTGATCGGCCAAGAAGTCACTTGGAAAAAAAAAAAAAAAAAAAGAAGGAAAGATACTTATTAGTTTTTCTCATTTTTACTGATAGATATCTTGTACAGAGGAATGAAGATAGAGTACTTTGGGAACCTAGTAAGACCATAGTTTTCTAGATGCATTTAATACTAACGGATTTTTTCTCTCTGGTCCTCAAATACTCGTTAAAGGAAACTTGACTTGCATCTCTTCTGGCATTAGCCAAAAGCATCACCACTACAGTACACTACCATGCATTCTCTGCTTTCAACATGGATGAATATTCTGTCTTGTATTAGACATGTCTTTAGTGCTTAAAAAAAGGGGGGGGGGAGAAAAAAAGAAAAAAGAAAAAGCATATACTTACTCAGAAACTACTTCTACACCCATTTTAGTCATGTAGTAAGTTCTTTTGTATTGCCTAAACTCAGTTTCAAACAGATCATCATCATCTGGTTCATCTTCCAACACAGCTGAAAAAGTAGTCACAGGAGAAAAAAAAAAGAAAAAAAAGAGGATTAACATTCACTTCTCTACTACAATAAAGTTTGAAGACATTCAGTTTTGACTTAATGCCTTAACTTTATTCCTCAATTCACAGTTATAGGTGCCCATACCCTCCTCGCACTGAAAGTAACCTGAAACATTCAAACAAGATCTTTACCCAGAGAAATTCTGGAATTTTTTTTCTTCCCCTTAAAGGCAGGCAACCCATTTTGTAGCCCATTTACAAAAACAGAGAAGAGAACATAAGCCATCAGAAAATAATTTCAGAAAATGTTAAAATAAATTATAAAATGTAATTTTTTTTCAGCAACATCATCTTATATCAGAGAGTAATTTTTACATTAAATTTCAAATGATGTACAAAAGACATTTCCTACAAATGGAATGAGTTTAAAAACACAATCGACACAACCAAAACACCCAAAGCCCTATAAAAATCTGTTCTTTTGTACCCACCTGTATAATAAAATACCCAGGCATGCAATTACCAAAAACATAATGTTGTTGAAGATTTGCTCATTCATTCCCGTAATTCATCATGGAAATTCTGGTCAGGTAAGAAGCACTTCAAAAGTGTTAGCCCCACTCCCTCTCATCATAAGCCCAGTGATGTGCAGTTCCATTTCCCAATAGCTGACTACTTAACTCTCATTTAGAGTAAGGTTGTGTCTGACATGAAATTCTTACGGATCTTCCAAATCTATACACAAAGTAACAACTTTGTTATATATATATGGAAAAGTTATTTGCACTTACTTTTAGGCGTCAAAACTTCACCTTCGTTTTTTTCTAAAGCAGCCAAACATATAGAATTTTCCTGAGCCTATTAAATTAATTTTTGAGATACAGTAAAAATACAGAATAATAAGCACATACCTCATTCACAACCATATAATCTGCAACTCAAAATGCTATAATCAAGATGTATAAATATTATTATTTTTTAGTATAAAATCCACTACAGTTCCTTCTCTTGTAATTGCCTAGGGAAAATGATTTTATCCACACAGCTCAAACAAAGGAGCAGTCTTAAATAAAATCTCAACTACCTTTAAAAATATCTGAATATCTGTTTTCCAAAATACAATTATTTCCAAAACTATGCAGTACACTTTTAAGCATTTTTACCTACAACATGTGGTTTGTGCTACAGCACCAGTATGCAATCAAATTTTTAATGAGTAAATTTCTAAGAGTTCAAATTACTTCTATGGGAAGCAAGGATACAAGAAATCGTGTTTTAGAGAGTCAAACAAGCCAAACATTCACCTCATTCTCACGCTACACACTGTCTTTTGCGTACAGCACTGAGTAGCTTTCGATCAGCAGAATGATTAAGGTGGCCCTCTTCCCCTGTACCTGAGATATGCAAGCTCCTGACTGTCACTGCCATTCAAAGGATCAGTCAAGATGGCTAGCTAATACTATACAGGTGCTCCAAACTTCTGTGGCAAATAAGAAAACAACCACAAATAAAGCATGCCTTATTAAAGGAAGAGCTAACATCTTGCTCTTACAAACCACAAACTGCACTAAACAACAGGATAACAATATACAGTGAAAGATTAAACTTGAAGGAATTTCCTGCTGCTACTCTACACTCTGCTGAAGGCATAGATTGAAGGACAGCCTATGGAAATGTGGGGGAGACATGACAGTGGGGCAGAGTCAAGATACAGAGTAAAGTGCTGTTCCTTATTAATTAGTTGTATCCGGAATTGCAAGTTTAATAAGCAATCTGAGATAGCTCAACACCAATGAAATGGCTATTTATCTCGTCATTCTCAAATAGTCAGCCAATACCAAGACACACATGAATAACCAGTCAGTGTATTGGAAACATATAGAACTTCCAGCACACTATGCATTGAAAAGTAAATTTATAAAGCATAGCAGGTTTGACCATAACTCACCCAGAAGTAAGTTTTGCTGCTGTTGAGGAACAGGTAAGTTGACATAAAACATTAAGTTTACGAGATTTCAAAAATCATGAGAACTGGACCTTGACTTAACCATTTCATCACTCACAACCAGCAATGCATACAGGCAGTTCCTCAATGTTACATTTTACTACCTTTTCTGACCTCGAAAAAAAATCTCAAACCAGAGGCTTATGCCATTTAATTTGTCTAAGATGAAATTATTGCTTTGCGAAAAGTAACATTCTTATTTCCAAAACCGCCCGTGTAAAACACTAACCTTTTGTTTCTTTTGTTTATTTTTTCTGGCTTCCTCTGCTGCAATACCAGCTGCCTCGTTGAGGTATTTATTGCCCACTTTACTTTCAAACCATTTCAGGTCTACAAAGACTTCACTGAAATGTTCACGATCAAACTGTGCAGAAAAAGTAAAATAAGTTTAGAAATATTTGAGGGATGCCAAATTCAGAGTGTTAAATTAACAATGTCTTTTTAGTATGTGCTTTAGATTACATCTAGAATCATTCATACATAAACATTTTGCCCTAGAGCTACAACTAAACTAAGATTAGTATTAAAAATCTTTTTTTCTTCACAATATATAACATATACCCAAGCCAAATTTTGTTTGGATCCGGATAACATAGTCTTGTGTCGCACACCCAACACTTTCATAGTTCTACCCGAGATTTAGAAGACAGAGCTGAAGCATGGACAGCAGATGAACTTCCTCCTTCCAAGTTCAGCAGAAGGCTGAGACCTTTCCATTTCTATAGGGCCTATACCTCTTATCTCTAGGATGGATTACTGCAGGGGCACTTAACAGATTGCCTGCTGTACGCTAATTAGTTCATCAAGAATGCTGATGCCTGCCTCAGAGATACTAATGCTTCACTGCTCTTCATCAGTGATCTTCATAAAAAAAAAATATTGCTCTGCAAGATCTTCAGACATAGCTTAACCCACAAGAAACTGATCAAGAAGGGAAGCAAAGAATATTGCTGCCTGCAGCACGCTTTGCCCAGTACTGCCCCTCATTAGTCATTGGACCATGATTCCAGTGGTGAATCCTCATTTGATTTGCAGTACTAAAAGATGCTGGCTAAAGCATAGATCAAACGATTCAATCTTTTTCCTAATGTGTTATGATAAGGTCAGACAACAACTGATTGGATCCCATCAGTTAAACGATAAAACAGCTGACTGAACCACTTGTAAAACACAGACATTCAGCAGTTCATTAAAACTACAGCACAGTGTATTTTAGGGCCCTATATTGAGGTTATATTCAACAGACTACACCATAATTTCAAAGTTACTTACATCTGACAATCTGGTGAGATATTTCTCAAAGCGTTTTAAATTTAGATGCCCGTTTTCATTTATGTAACCTATTGGGAAAATAAAGTATGTTTTTTAAATTAACAATTTAACAATTTTAAAATTTCAACTTAAATGCCCTATAGAGAATATAATGCAGTCTTGCTGGATGTGTAAAGAAAATGTAACAAATACTAAACATTCTAACATGGCTTAAAAAGGTCAATAAATATTAATGCAGGAATGTTAATGTTTCTGCTTTCCAGAACTAAACTTAGTGTTCTTACCTCCCAGTTCTGGCAAGATAGCCATATATGTTCTATAAAGTAGCGGCAGTGCATCATGATTAATGTGTAAATGAGGTAGATGAGGAATAAAATCATTTCCTACAAGGAAACCCATTAAGATCCAATCATCTATTATCCTTTCAATATCATATTCAAAGGAAATCTTGCCCTGGGAAGAGAAAGAAAAAACCAACCAAAAAACAGGTACATGATTTTTATTATCATGTTTGCATAAAAAGACCTCACGCATCTCTTCAATCCCAGCTCCATTAGAACTTACTTTTACTGGTGAAAATTCATAATCAATATATTCTCTCATCAGTGATAAGTGCAGTAAATGAAATGTAGTTTCCTCTGGTGCACATGCTCTGTAAATTATTCAGAACATTAAGGTAATTATTTATAAACACTTTCAACATGAATATTTAATAAGTCCAAGGTTACCTAAAACCAAGTAATCTTACTAGGATTATATCCTTGCAGAAGAAATAACCCATAAACATTTATTTGAATCTATTTTAGGATTCATCTAGTTTGAGTCTATAAAATTTTGCAACAGAATCTTCTAAACAGCAGACGCGACTGCACTACATGGAAAACAGCTAGCTTAGAGAAAGCAGGGCAGCTTTGTGGGGTTCCATGTTGCTTTAACTATTTCATAAGTAATTATCCCATTGTCCAAAAAAGGGACAACCTAACCTAACTTTGCACAAAACCCAATGTATTTTAAGGTATTTCAGAACTAGCCTGTGTACATACAGAGTACACATTCATGTCTAAACTGGCTGGGTTACATTTGCAGTCATTTGAAATGCTTCTTGTTAGAAAAGAACATGCTCAACTTGAAAATACGTTCTGTATGTATTATCTACCAGCTTCAACACAGCACGAAAAAATGACAAACCTACTGTTTGCTTATGGCATAAATTAGTCAACATATATTCTGCCTTCTTTTCCTCTCTTCACTAAAATGACTTAATATCTAAGCCAATGTTAGGCCAAAATCAGTTAATACCTGCACCAAAAGATTAGTGAGCTAAAGACTGATATATTTTAAATTTGTAAAGGACTGTTTCACTTTGTAGGTACTAAAACTAGCTGGGACCACCTCCAATGCCAAACCAGTATAAACACTCGTGTATTCACACGTACGCATATAGAGTAGATTTTGGCCAAAATTCTCTGAGGAAGATGCATGTGATACACAAGCTTATATGAAGACTACTAAGATGAACTCTGAGCTACAGTTGGCTGCAAAGAACTTCAGACTCAATTCTGCCACATTTAAAATGTAATTTTCATATTGGCAAATCCAGGTTGATGCTCTAAGATGCTAGAGACACTTTGCCCCTTATTCTTCATCGCACTGGACTTGAAAATCTGATAAAACAAATAATTTGTCTTAATCGAGAAATTGCTGACAGGTATTAATTTGTGTATATTTTTAATATTTTCAAATTTCCAACTGCAAGTACTCATAAAAGTGACGATATTGACATAAAGGCAATTCCTGTAACTTCCAGAAGTAAATGCCTGTAATGAGCAATAGTATCCAGAAATTACAACAGGAGCCAAGCATGGAACAATGCTTGAGGGGAAGAAAAAAAAGAAAAAGAAAGAAAAAAAGACACCTTGTCTTTAAATTTCATACTTTAGTTAATTAATCCCTCAAAAGGTCATCAGAATTATTTTATATTCTTTTATTTTTTAAAAAGGGAAAACCAACATTTTTCTTCCATTAGACTTAAGGTCTTTTAAAAACATTACAATGCTACATGCCAACACTGTCAACATAATGAGTATTAGTGAAAAGTTGACTGCAGAAGACTATGAAAACACTACTTATTGCTGATGTTTACAATATTGTCCTTGGCAATAAAAACATTTATTAGCAAAAACGATACATTTATCTAAATATTTATACAACTCATCACTGCATTATCCAAAATCCTTTTTGTATCAAAAAAGTGTATTTCTGTCTCTCCCACCTTCTCCCCTCTATCCACCAAACATATGCTTAAGGCCCTTCAAAGAAGGAACCTAGCCATAGTAACAGTTACAAAATTAATTCTATTACTTCAGAATAGCTCCATGTATGTGCACAGTTCTGGAACAAATCACCTTGTTCTGCCTGATTATAGCCCACAAGTTAGTTCAAATAGGCAAATCCAGAGTAAGACTCAACAGAGTTTATTTTAGTAATTATTCTAGTAGTTTACTTACATGCACAAAACCTCAGAGATATAAATACATTTTAAAAAGTCAGTATCTGCATAAGACAATTAAGGAAACAATATCAGTACAGCCTTGGCTGCTCCATTCACAATATGAAGAAAGAAGCAAAAACACACCAAAGCTCTAAGGATTTTTTTTATCAGCAGTCCTCAACAGCATACACTTTCTCATGTAAATGAATTCAAATGCACAATTTAACAAGTTGATTTCTCTAATTTCATGTATTTTCTAAGACATAAATAAACTAAGACTTTATTAATTTAGTATGCAATCAATTAAAAAAACTGTTTTAGTGACCCAGTATCTTTTGGATTTAATTTAATCATATGTAAAGTAAGAGTAAAGTTAAATCAGTTCACCTTTGAGATTTTTTACCACCAAATCTGACTTCTTCTCTTAAGAGCGCAAAGTGTGCCTCATGACTTGTTAATCCCAGCATAATCTATTACAAAGAGATATTAGAAAGGTCTTACTTCATTATTTTTTTAAACTGTTATTTTAAGATTCGAGCAGTATAAAGAAATTTTATTGTTCTGCTTTTATTACAAATTCAAAAGTCTGCAAGAATATAAAAGTACACACTTGTTTAATAACATTTTAGAACCCTGTGCACTTGGGAAGACATCAAAGACATACACACTTTATAACTTCTGTTGTTTGTATTATTTTAATTGCACGTACCAAGTCAGCGTCTAAGCCATAGAGACAATGTCTTGTATTTGGATCATGATGGGGCTTTGCTTTTTCTGATCTGATGAACTCCATAATTTTATGCTCACCTTCCCCCGGAGTCTGCACAAAAAAAACCCCAAAACCAAAGTAATCAATATTTTTCTATAAAATAAA